AGAGCGACTACCACTACGGCCACCCCGACTGCTCAAACCGGCGTACCACTCACGAGCCTGCTGGACCAGAAGAGGGCACGGCTGCTGCACCTGTCCACTACCAGGGGCTCCCGAACGACGCACGCCAGAGCGACTACCACGCCGGCCACCCCGACTGCCCAAACCGGCGTACCACTCACGAGCCTGCTGGAGCAGAAGAGGGCACGTCTGCTGCACCGGTCTACTACCAGAGGCTCCCGAACGACGCACTCCAGAGCGACTACCACTACGGCCACCCCGACTGCCCAAGCCGGCGTACCACTCACGAGCCTGCTGGAGCTGCATCTGGCCACGTCAGGAGCAGCAGTAGTAGCGGCAGCAACAGCAGGAGCAGTAAAGGCAGTAGCAGCAGCAGTAACGGTAGCAGTGCTAGCACGGCAAAGCTCACCAGTGGTTGGTGCGGCGGGCGCAAGACAGTGGCGACAGCGTGGCCGCTGCAACAGCGGGGCGGGGCCAGGTCGTAGCAGGGAGCTCCGCGGCAGCTGCGGCAGGGTCGGCGACGGCCGCTGCTGTAGGCTCGGTGGCGGCAGCTGCTGCAGGTCGAGCGGTGGTTGCTGCTGCAGGGTCGGCGGCGGCCGCTGCTGTAGGCTCGGCGGCGGCTGCTGCTGCAGGGTCGGTGGCGGCTGCAGCTGCAGGCGCGGCGGCGGCAGCTGCTGCAGGTCGAGCGGCGGCTGCTGCTGCAAGCTCGGCGGCGGCAGCTGCTGCAGGTCGAGCGGCGGCTGCTGCTGCAGGCTCGGCGGCGGCAGCTGCTGCAGGTCGGCGGCGGCTGCTGCTGCAGGCTCGGCGGCGGCAGCTGCTGCAGGTCGAGCGGCGGCTGCTGCTGCAAGCTCGGCGGCGGCAGCTGCTGCAGGTCGAGCGGCGGCTGCTGCTGCAGGCTCGGCGGCGGCAGCTGCTGCAGGTCGGCGGCGGCTGCTGCTGCAGGCTCGGCGGCGGCAGCTGCTGCAGGTCGGCGGCGGCTGCTGCTGCAGGTTCGGTAGCGGCAGCTGCTGCAGACGAAGTCGAAGCCGCGAAGGGGCGGCTGAGGGATTGCGACGGGCGGCTAAGGGGCCGCGATGCGTGGGTAAGGAGCCGCGACGGCGGCTGAAAGGGCCGCCACGAGCGGGTAGGGAGGTGACGACGCCACGGGAAAGGCGACGCGGCGGGCGGCGAGAGCCTGCAGCGGCGGGCAGCTCGCGGGCAGTGCGCGGAGCCGCACAAGGCTGCGACGGGTCGCGTGACAAACCCTAAGCCGCGCGCGGGCGGCTAGCTGGTCGCGCGCACGAAGAATCGGCCGCGCGCGGGCGGCTAGCGAGGCGCGCGCGCGAAAAATCGGCCGCGCACGGGCGGCTAGCGAGTCGCGCGCGTTAAAAACGAGCCGCGCGCGGGTGGCTAGCGGGCTGCGTGCGCGCGGTAGGTAGAGGCGCACGAGGGCGCTAAGGCGCACGAGGGCGTGCGGTAGGTAGAGGCGCACAAGGGCGCTAAGGCGCACGAGGGCGCTCGGTAGTGAGAGGCGCACGAGGGCGCACGAGGGCGCACGAGGGCGCACGAGGGCGCACGATAGGTAGGTAGGTAGGTAGGTAGCGGTGGGCCCTAGGAGCGGTCCTAGCAAAGGACCTGCTCTGATACCATGTCAGAATGAACAGGCAGGAATGATGAACTAGCAGGGATTGTGAGTACAAATATGAAACCCTAATGTTGTGACCCCCCCTATAGGCTAACCCACTACAGCCTACACAAATACAACATGTATAATGTTTGACAAATGGCGATCATTCAGTGCCATCGACCTCTACCCCTACTACGACATTAGCTACTTGCATGCCTCCCAGCGGTGCCGATAAGAACATCCCTGCTCAAGGACCTTGCTAACTTTGACGGGGCGAAGCTGTTCAAGCAGGGGTCATATCCCAAGAGCCTCTGTGCCTCTGCAGCCTCTGCGCAATTTGTTTAAGAAGAGGCCTGAAGACCCTGGTACCTAACCAGGTGCATAAAATCCTTGAGATTTCGTGCCTATGTGATGCTCATTGTTTGTTCTTATTCATGCTTAACCAGCTTAACACATTTATGTTGCACCTACTTCCCTTTGCGAACCCCAACCACAGGCATCAACTGGGCACGAGCGCAGAGGGAGATCGTGCTACCCGAACCTCGTGCAGATGCTTCCTCCGCTGCGCCTGTAGAGCCATCAGCCATCACATCCCGACCAGCTGCTCTATCACAGAAATCAAAGCGGGGACGGGCAGCAGCGACCCTGCACTCGCTGTGCTTTTCGCCTGTCTGAACACCCTCACCAGAGAGTGGTCGGCAAACCCCCCTCAGGTGCTCTCGAACTACCACCAGCCGATCATTTTCCGCCCACCTGCCCTGTCCGTATCACGACATGCTACCCGAACCTCGTGCACTTGTGGATCGCCGTCGCCGTTCTTCCACTCAGCACAGTGGAGTGCGAGCGCGGCTTCTCACGGAAAAACGTGATCAAGAGCTGGCTTCGCAGGAACCTGTGTGACGCGAAGCTGGGGGAGCTGATGACCATCTCGCTTCTTAGCTATGACATGGAGTGGCCCGAGTTACTGAGGAGGTGGCATGCTTCCAAGAAGCGCAGGCCTGCCAAGGATGTGCTGATGCGTCCGGGGAGAGACAGAGCAAGCGCACGAAGAAAAGATCTGCCTCAGCAGCAGCAGCAGCAGCAGCATTGGCAGCAGCAAAAGCTGCAGCTCGAGAAGCAGCCCTAGCAGCAGAAGCCGCAAGGCTGGATCCAGAATACCCCTGGCTTAGTCGGAAAGATAAGGGAGAAGTCCCTGACCCTTTTGTGGAAAGCGCGGATGACAGTGATGACGAAGACAGCGGCGACAGTGACTCGGACTAGGTTGCTAGTGACTCTAACCTGGATGTGTAGTTTGCGTCAGTGACGCTGATAACTGCATAGATGGTTGATAGATGTATGACATAGTTAGGCTAAGTAGGAAATGCTAAGTATGATAACTTTGTAGTTGGTTCAGACCGTGGTTTTTTTTTCATCTGATGGATCAATCTGCATAGAAATTTTTGCCTCTGAATTCAGACAGCAAAAAATTGGTTATCTAGGCATCATACGAAAATATATGCATGCATATATATTATATATATTATGCATATATATATATCTTTCAGACAGGCCTGAAACCTAGCGAGAGCCCTGACGGAAAGGCATGCGAAGGGGCGTCTTCCCAAATGCCCCATCCCGTTCCAAGCCGATGCAGTGCACCGGTTGGTGCAACACGGCGTAAACGCCAAGGTGTTGGGGGTTGATGTCGCCCACGTTTGCATTCCCCATGGCTTTTTTTTTTGTTTTTTTTTCCCAAGCATGTTAGCGTCTGAGAATGAGTCTGACATTTTGCGTCGACACAGGAAAATTGAGCGTCGTCGTCTTGTCCATCGAGATATACAGCCCCCGTCATTCTCTGAGCAAGCTGGACTGTGTGCTTTACATGGACTAGCTGGCCTAATATGACGATGGTACCGGCCGGGCGTGCAAGCTGCTGAAGTGCTTGTACGGCCTAAAGCAAAACTCGGTGCTGTGTCGGAGCTCGACGCCATGCTTGCCGGTGCTGGAGCAAGAGCCAGGTCAACAAGCCCTCTACTTCAAGGTCGGCGACGGCGGGGTGGCGTGCTGGGTGTTCGTCTATACCGATGACCTACTCACCGCCAGCAGCAGCACCACGATCGTGAGCCATTGTAAAATGCTTCTGAGTTGCGCAAGATCAGCCTGGTCGAGAAGTACCCAGGGCTTGAAATCGTGCACAACCGACCTGCACGGAAGCTGTGGCTCCACCAGCAGTCCTACGTCAATATGCTACGTAGGCACTTCATCGACGAGGAACAGTCTGGTCGGCGCCCCAAGATGCTGGCCTCTGTCAACGCCTACGCCTAACTGACCTTCAACGACAAGGACATTCAATTGCCCGGTGAAGAGGACTATGGACAGAAGGTTGACACGCTGTAGATCGTCGCCACTATAACTCGACTCGACATCGCCTTTGCATGCAGCAAGATGGGCTGCGCCTTTACGGTGCGAAGCGACCAGCATTGGCGCGAGGTCGACCAGTGCCTCGCCTACTTGGCCGATACGTGCGATGTTGCCTTGGAGTTTGGCGGTGGGCCACCCGGAAACTTTGTTTCTGGTCGACTACATGGAAGTTGACGACGTCGGCGAGAAGTAGACACGCAACAGCACGAATGGCTACATTTTCGTCGTTAGGGGCGCAAATGTCTCCTGCACGGGCCAGCGCTCAAGTGCGTGATCTGTCCTCCACCGAGTTGGAGTACATTGCTGCGATCGAAGCCGGTAAAGAGGTTCGCCGCCTTCGCTTCCTCCTTGCCAAGTTCAAGCTCCTTGACGCTAGGACGCCAACCTTCCTCAACGTGGGCAACCATTTGACCATCGCGGTCATTGGGGGTTTGGGGATAAAAGACAACCTCAAGCACATGGAGCGACGCTACGTCTGCTTGTAACAGGTGGTGAAGCGCAAAAATATTGTGTTGTAGTACATCGCGAGCACCGAGCATCCGGCAGACTTCCTCACCAAGGCGCTCAACATCAACCACTCAACTAGTGCTCCGTCGTAGTCAGCCAAGTTCGCCTTGCTGACGTCGGTGACAAAAACGTGCAGCAGTTGGCGCCATATCGTTCAACATGGCTGATGCAATGAACGGCGTGCGGAGGTGTACATGTCGACGAAGTATCCCCCTGTAAAATGTTACGTAGGATCTGGGTGGGCTTCAGTGTGTGTGGGTGCCATTGTACTCATCATTCTCTCAACTTTCTTAATGAAACTCTTGTCAGTTTTCCCCGTGAAAACACAAACAAGCATAAGTGCTAGATAACGCTACGATCACCCGTACAACCCCGTATCCTTCCACAAAGTCTAACTACTATTGTAGAGTGACTCTCCGTAGATTCATGTACATGATGCATCGTACTCATTTTGATCTTGCATACTCTCTCAGCATCCTAGCTCGTTTTGTTTTGTTTTGATTTGTTGTTGTTGTTGTTGTTGTTGTTGTTGTTGTTGTTGTTGTTGTTGTTGTTGTTGTTGTTGTTGTTGTTGTTGTTGTTGTTGTTGTTGTTGTTGTTGTTTTTGTTGTTTTTTTTTTTTTTTTTTTTTTTTTTCCATTTGGGAGACACAACCTACCCACTGGGCAGCCGCTAAGAGGGTGTTGCAGTATCTAATGAGCACGTCAGACAACGAGCGTGTGTTTGGAGGGAGACATGCTTTCAGCATTATCAGGAACACTGACGCGTCATGGGCGGACGGCGATGAGTCTTGGAGGTTTTCATAGGGCCATGATCATGCTGCCTCAGGAGCCTCGGCTTGTGGGCAACACAAAGCAGGTTGAGCTGCGGTACTTCCTACTGCACGAGTTGCAGTGGCACGACCAGGCACGCATGATACCTGTGGCCTCAGAGTCCAGCATTGCTGACATCTTCATCAACATCTTACCTTACAAGGCTTGGACGGGCAAAAAAGCTGACACATGACTACTCCGTGTGTTTGGCTGCATGATACAGTACAAACCTCACACTGGCCGGAAAAGAAATTTTTACAAATTGAGCGCGCTCAGGCATTCACCCCATGATATCGAAGGAGTTCAAGGCCTGGATCATGTTGAACTACGTAACACACGAAGTGACGAAATCGCATGATTACATACTCATCTGCGTCGCCGCCGCCAAACGACGCCTACAGCAACAAATTGACACCTCCAACGCGTTTATCTACGCAGTCGTCGAAGCCATTAACTTCGTCGAGCAACCTCACGCATTTCATGAAAATGACGACGAGGTGTGTCGGGTGCAGAAATCACTGTATGGCATTAAGCAAGCACCTCGATTTGTCAACAATATTTGCAGAAGGTCCTCATCGAGCTAGGATTTCAGCAGAACCCACATGACCAAAGCATGTATCGCCTGGAGTCACACGGGAAGTTTATCCTACTCATCACCTACGTGGACGATCTGCTCTACACCAGCGACGACACAGAGCTATTCGATCGGTTCAAGAGCAACATCAAGGAGAAGCTCGAGGTGAATGTCAACCATAATGTCACCTAGTTTTGGGGACTCAACGTCACGTAATCGGCCAGCTCCGTCCATATGTCAGCCTCCAAATGGGTCAAAACTCTCGCGAAGAAATTCGTAATCGCGCCATTTAGCCTTACCACCCCTTTTCGCACACCTCCTTCTAATCACAAACCCAACTCCATGCTACTCCCTGTGGACAATCGCCGCCTCTATCAACAGCAGCTGGGATGCCTGATATTTACCGCCGTCACATGCTGACCGGACCTCTCCTACGTCGCAACCCAGCTCGCACAGTCCTATGCTAGACCTACATTAGCCACTTCAATACTTCGTCACTGCTCATGACGTCGGTCTTGTCGAAATAGTAGCTTAAGGGCTAGGATAGTAGCTTAGAAGGGTTAGGCATGTCGAGAGTAGCGAGAGAGAGTGTTGGCCAACAATAGAGGGATTTCACTGTAGGAGTTTGGAGTACAAATAGGAAACACGGCATAAAAAAGAAGGTACACCACCAAACAGTGTAACAAAATAACTAAAAAAAACTATTGCTACAGCAGTTATACTAACAATATGAGATATGTTGTTCGACAGGGCTCATCTATACCGCTAACTTAACAGCTACTCCAAAGATAAAAGGCTATGTAGGTTCAGTTCACGCGGGAGATGCAGACAATAGAAGGTGGATTCATCGTCACCAGCACAGCTGTTTGCGGAGGATTGTACCTAATGGAGCTCCTATAGGAAGCGAAAGTGACAACTGACACTTTACGTTACTCTGCAACAACTAGAGTGCGATAAAAATCGCGAACAAATCTGGCTTCATGAACAGCACGAAGCACATCGCACTCTCTCACTTCTACATCAAGGACGAGATTGATAAGGGGAAAGCCAAGCTCACCTATTGTCCGACTGGTGACATGGCGTCAGATTTCCTGGCCAAGAAACTGCCATGTCAAAAGTTTCAACACTGCACAGACCTTTACGGGATCGTGAAGAAGACCCACGTGGCTCACCTTCAGGGATGAAGTGGAGTGTTGGAATGACCTAGGGTTGTTTAACATTCCTGAAGGTTCTCCCTTAACGCGCCACTTCATATCGAAGCAACGCATTGAACCAGTATCGAGTTAGCTCATATAAGAGCGTGCAAGCGAAGGAGAACGGTTTCGGAGCATGCCCTAAGATATCAGAACTTTTTCTTAGATTTTCCTGATTTTCAGCCTAATTTTCTGTACCTACATTGATTTTCCATACTTTTGATTTTAGTGACATTGATTTTCCAGAATTCCTTCTCTAAAGGAACTTATTTTTCAGCCTTTTATCAATTGTATACACTGAATGCGCGTTCCACATCCTTCCTGCAAAACATCCGAGATTTTGGGACTCCAACATTTCCGCATTGCCATCGTACAAATAATCATAACACAGCCATGTGTTGGCTTAAATTATCTCAGTTGTTAGGGGGGTCAGTACCGAAGTGGAAGATCCCCGGTTCGAAACCCATTGCTGTTAGTAATTACTGCATTGTTAATGTTGTATTTCATCTGTTCAGAAGAACAATCCTTTTTTTTTTTCCAATGGAACCTTGGAAATCCAGGGTTTTTTTTTTTTTCTGTGGAGGCTGTCAATCAGCGTTTTGATTCACATTGGCACAAATAGATGGTACCTAAAAATGAATCTGAGGCCCTCTCCCCGAGAGCCAACGGTCGCGACTTTTGACCACCCCACAATCGCAACCGGAGGTTACGCATTGTAACGTAATAATCATAAGGATCTCAATTATCATTCAGGCTTCCGCTGCCGTAACTCATCTAGCAAGCACTATCCTGTCCACTACGATTCCTTAATTACATCAACAGTTTCTTCATCTTCATTGCTTGCTTTGTTTTTTTACCATATATTTATATACATCTATTTGTGTGAACTCATTGACATGCCTTGCTGCCTCTTTATCACATATCTTGGACTAGTTGTGTTGTGCCAACCTGAATTCGCTTGATGTTGTTGCTTTAGTACTACCCCTTGTCTAGCCTAAGGGGTGTGTTTTTCATATGTTTTTTGTACTTATATGCCACAATACGTCTAAACTTTAGAGAGTACAAAATATTGTATGCGTGTACCCTCAACACTTTCCTAGTGTAAGGAATTTTTCGACGTTCCTTACTGGATTGCTCACCATCGTGTATAAGATCGGCCATTCTTCACCCATTACAAATAACAGAGCCTTCGCCATCTTTCGCGCGCTGCATTTGCCCAACCATGCATCGCTGGCCCGATCGAGTCGGCCTTTGGGGCTAGAACGAACCTCGATGTCAAGATCGCACGAGCTAGCTCGCACGCACTGCGTTACCGTTTGCATGTTTCGCTTTTCTTATGCCTTCGCTCATACTTTTTACTCGTTTAACACTATTGCAATCCTCGCTACCTCACTATACTGCACCCGTAATACTTAGTCAACATTTATCTCGACATTTTGAGCTTTGTGTATGAATATACTTGCCCATCCCCCCTATATTAAATCTCACACACGGTATGTTCGTGCAGGCACACGCACACACATACATATACACATAAACACACACGCTCGCACGCACGCACGCATGCACATACACACATATACACACACACACACATGTTAAAGTGTAATGTGTTATATGTTGGTAGGCTGTAGTGGGGTAGCCAATATGGGGTACAACCCCAACTAGGGTTTCATATTTGTACCCAAACTTCTGCTAGTTCATTCATTCTTGCCTAGTTATTCTGAAATGGTATTCAGAGCAGGAGGTCCCTAGGACCTACCGACCGTTTTTTTAAGGGCCCACCACCGCTCGCATGCGGTTACCACGCTACCCCGTGCCCTAGCCTCGTAGCGCCCTCGTGCGCCCTCGTTAGCGCCCTCGCGCGCCCCTCGTTAGCGCCCTCGCGCGCCCCTCGTTAGCGCCCTCGCGCACCCTCGTTAGCGCCCTCGCGCGCCCCTCATTAGCGCCCTCGCGCGCCCCTTGCTAGCGCCCTCGCGCGCCCCTCGCTAGCGCCCTCGCGCGCCCCTCGCAGCGTCGCCCGCCCGCCGAGCCGCCCGCTCGCAGCGTCGCCCGTCCGCCACGCTGCCCGCTCGCCCCTCGCCCGCCGCGCTGCCTGCTCGCAGCGTCGCCCGCTCGCCCCGCTGCCCGCTTCGCAGCCCGCTCGCCCCGCTGCCCGCTTCGCAGCCCGCCCGCCCGCTCGCTGCCCGCTTCGCGGCCCGCCCGCTTCGCTGCCCGCTCGCAGCGCCGCCCGCCCGCCCGCTACCTGCTTCGCAGCGTCGCCCGCCCGCTTGCTGCCCGCTCGCAGCGTCGCCCGCCCGCCCGCTGCCCGCTTCGCAGCGTCGCCCGCTCGCTCGCTGCCCGCTCGCAGCGTCGCCCGCCCGCCCGCTGCCCGCTTGCAGCGTCGCCCGCCCGCCTCGCTGCCCGCTTGCAGCGTCGCCCGCCCGCCCGCTGCCCGCTTGCAGCGTCGCCCGCCCGCCCGCTGCCCGCTTCGCAGCCGCCCGCCGCGCTGCCCGCTCGCCGCGTCGCCCGCCCGCCCCGCTGCCCGCTTCGCAGCCCGCCCGCCGCACTTCCCGCCTGCAGCGCTGCCCGCCTCGCCTGCTGCTCCCTGCCTGTGCACCGCCGCTTGCTCCTGCTGTGGCTGCTAGCTTCGCTCTAGCGCGTCCCCTCTGCTGCTGCCGCTGCTCTGCTGTGCCCTCACGCCTGAGCTATGGCCTCTATTCGCGTTCTTTCCTTCGATGCTGAGGGCCGTCCCGTGCAGTTCACTTCCTGGCTCGACGACCTGCAGTTGTATCTTATGAGCAATAGCACGGACCACATCTCCCTCTATGACTACGCGTCTGGTGCTGCCGCTGCTCCTGCTGCCACAGCCGAGCTTAGTGTACGTTCACAGTGGCAGACTCGTGACGCTGCAGCTCGCCTGGCTATTCGCAGTCACCTGCCGTTACCTGAGCTAGAGCACTTTGGCGACTGCAAAACCGCTAAAGCCCTATACGACGCTGTCGTTGCTCGCTACTCCTCACCTGCCACAGCCGAGCTTAGCCGTCTCATGCTGCCTTACCTGTTCCCTGACCTGTCCACCTTTGCTACAGTCGCCGATCTTATCACCCACCTTCGCACTAGTGATGCTCGCCTGCGTGCCGCCCTTCCCACCGAGTTCTGCGCTAAGAACCCCCCTCCCCTGTACTGGGCACTCCACTTCATAGTCACCCGTCTCCCTGACACCCTCAGCTCAGTGCGCGACTATTTCCTTGCTCGCTGTCCCACTGAGCTCACTGTCGCCCTCCTAGAGGAGAAGCTGCTAGCAGCCGAGAAGAGCATTGTAGCTGTAGGTGCTGCTCGCGGCGCTCCTCGCACCCCCATCTTTGAGGGATGCTCTCCCTCTCCCCTCGCTCCCTCCTATGCTACTGCTGCTGCTGTTGACTTCCTTGGTGCTGAGACTGCTGGCGCTGCTTCTGCTCCTGGTGGGAGGCGCCGCACCGGCAAGGGCAAGGGGGGCAAGGGTGGCGGGGGTGGCGCTGGGGGGGGAGGGGGTGGGGGAGGTGGGGGGGGAGGCGGTGCTGGAGGGAGCGGTGGCGGGAGTGCCGGTGGGAGTGGGGCCGGCGGCGGAGGCGGGGGCGGCGGCGGGAGCAGTGGCGGTGGTGGCAGCGGCGGCAGTGGCGGCGGTGGCGGTAGTGGCGGTGGCGGTGGCGGTGGTGGCGGTCGGAGCGGAGGTAGTGGCGGCGGTGGAGGTCGGAGTGGAGGCACAGGCTCGGGCCAGAGCTCCCAGCAGCAGCAGCGTCCCCAGTCGACCCAGCAGCTTCGTGAGTGGCTTGCTCAGCGTGGGACGTCGGGGGGCAGTGGCCGCTGTTCCTATGTCATTCGCACAGGTGATCGCAAGGGGCAGACGTGTGGAAAGTTCCACACTCAGTACCGCTGCTTCTTCCGCCTTGACGACGCTTGGCGTGAGGAGATGGGCGAGGATGTTGAGCGCCCTCGCTGGGCTGAGCTGATGAGGGCTGGGGTTGATATCTTTGCTCTTGACTATGATGCTATTATTGCTGCCATGTATGCATTGACTGTTAGTGCCGAGGGAGACTGTTACTTGTGTGTGCCGCCTGACCCAGGTATCGGGCCCGCTGCCCTAGGTACTAGTGAGTCTGCTCTCTCTGGTATGGTGCCCCCTGTACCTGCTCCCTCCAGCACTGTCCCTGCTGCTTGCGAGTCTGCTCTCTCAGGTACAGCACCCACAGAGACTGCTCTCTCAGGTACTGCACCGGCTGAGCCCTGTCACACCTTCACCCTTGACTCAGGTGCTTCCCGCTGCTTCTTTCGAGACAGTACTGAGCTCACACCGCTTCCTGCACCGGTCCCAGTCTCCTTGGCTGACCCCTCTGGGGGCCCGGTCCTTGCCCGGTCCACCACTGTGCTCCCTTGTCCGGCGGTTCCGTCTGGCTCGTTGACGGGTTTCCACCTCCCCTCGTTCTCGACGAACCTGGTGAGCAACGCTGTCATCCAGGATCAGTGGGTTGACACCTTTACCCCTGGAGGACAGCGTGTGGCGATCTGCACGTGCTCCAGGACCGGCCGTCACCTGGCTACGTTTACTCGTCGGCCGGGGTCGAGTCTCTACACACTGACCACTGCGTCTCCTCAGGTCGCTGCTGTCGGTCAGGTGTCCGCGTCAGGTCTGGTAGCCCACGCCTGTGAGTGTCGTTCCCTGTCGCACCAGACTCTTCTCTGGCACCACCGCCTGGGTCACCCCTCCTTGCCACGCCTCCGTGGCATGCACCGTCGCCACCTTGTTGCTGGGTCTGAGTCTGCGTCTGTCTGTCCTCCGTCCGTCGGGGGTGAGTGTGCTCTTGGCACGGACGTCCTTGAGGACAGGCAGGAGGACTTTGACTCTCTCGCGGCTGCTGTACCTCATCTCGTGGCCTGGTTGCTTGCCCCTGAGGGAGACCCGGATGCACTAGACATCCCCACTCCGCGCACTTACGCAGAGGCGATCTCGGGTCCCTACTCCTCTCAGTGGCAGACAGCCATGGACGCAGAGATGGCATCCTGGAAGTCCACAGGCACCTACGTCGACGAGGTTCCCCCTCCTGGGACGAACATCGTCGATGGCATGTGGATTTTCAGGGTGAAGCGGCCGCCAGGTTCTCCGCCTGTCTTCAAGGCTCGTTACGTTGCTAGAGGCTTCAGTCAGCGTCAGGGGGTCGACTTCTTCCAGACCTTCTCCCCCACCCCGAAGATGACCACTCTTCGGGTTCTGCTGCACGTTGCTGCTCAGCGTGACTACGAGCTTCACTCTCTTGACTTCAGCACAGCGTTCCTGCAGGGCAGCCTGCACGAGGAGATCTGGCTGCGCCGCCCACCTGGCTTTACTGGGTCGTTTCCTCCTGGTACCCAGTGGAGCCTCCGCCGGCCAGTCTACGGTCTCCGCCAGGCGCCACGCGAGTGGCACGACACACTGAGGACTACACTTGCGGCTCTTGGGTTCGCGCCGTCTACTGCTGACCCGTCGCTGTTTCTGCGCACAGACACGTCGCTGCCGCCATTCTACATTCTCGTGTACGTCGACGACTTGGTCTTTGCTACTGCTGACACTGAGGCACTCGCTCGTGTGAAGTCGGAGCTGCAGAAGAGACACACCTGCACTGACCTGGGTGAGCTGCGTAGCTACCTTGGCTTGCAGATCACCCGGGACAGAGCTCGCCGCACCATCACCCTGACTCAGTCACACATGGTGCAGCAGGTCCTTCAGCGCTTCGGCTTCCAGTTCTCCTCACCACAGGCCACACCTCTGGCTACCAGCCACTCGCTCTCAGCTCCACCTCCGGACGAGTCCGTAGAGCCGAGTGGCCCGTACCCAGAGCTTGTGGGCTGCCTCATGTACCTGATGACTTGCACGCGACCTGACCTCGCGTACCCTCTTAGCATCCTTGCTCGTTACGTTGCGCCTGGGAGACACAGGCGAGAGCACTGGGAGGCTGCTAAGAGGGTGCTGCGCTACTTGTGCAGTACATCAGGCATGGGGCTGGTGCTTGGAGGACACGACAGAGTTGTCCTCACTGGTCACTCGGACGCTTCTTGGGTGGACGACCTGGCTACGCAGCGGTCGTCACAGGGTTACACCTTCAGCCTTGGCTCTGGTTCTGTCTCGTGGCGGTCCACCCGCTCTTCCTCTGTTCTCAGCTCTAGTTGTGAGGCTGAGATCTACGCCACAGCCATGGCTGCACAGGAGTTACGCTGGCTCACCTACCTGCTGACTGACTTGGGAGAGCGGCCTAGTTCTCCTCCAGTTCTGTACGGTGACAACAAGGCGGCTCTTGCCTTGTGTCAGGAGCACAGACTGGAGCACAGGACGAAGCACATTGCTCTTCGCTACTTTCTTGCTCGAGAGCTTCAGCAGCGCGGTCAGCTTCGGCTTGTGTACGTGGACTCGAAGGCCAACACTGCTGATATCTTCACCAAGGCGCTCCCGCCTAGTGATCATCAGCGGCACTGTACTTCTTTAGGCCTTGTGTCCACGTTTCCTCACTTGCTCACTGCTTGACATTCTTTGTACTGTACTTTATATATATCTTGTTGCTTGCTTGCTAGGTTTTGATCACTGTGTTGCTTGTCTTGTACTATATCTAGCACTGCATGTGAACTGGCCTTGTGGCCTTTGCTTGTGCTCGGAGTGTGGTGACGTTGTGATCCACCCTGGGCTTGCGTTGCTTTGCTGGACTGGTCTTGTGACCCTTTGTTCTCCCCCACTTTGCCTATGGGGGTGTGTTAAATTGTAATGTGTTATATGTTGGTAGGCTGTAGTGGGGTAGCCAATATGGGGTACAACCCCAACTAGGGTTTCATATTTGTACCCAAACTTCTGCTAGTTCATTCATTCTTGCCTAGTTATTCTGAAAACACACACACACTCACACACACTTACACACACATACACGCATACGCGCGCGCGCATGTCAGAATCCCAGCCATTAACCAATGGGATAAAATGGCTTGTTTGTGTAACATGTGAGTACGCCCATAACCCCCCAGGCCAACATGCCTGTAACCCTTCCCTAAGACCAATCGAGAATCTCTTGTGGACCTCTGACACCCCCCGCCCTGGGATGCCCGAGGTGCACACAGCGGGTTTCGAACCCGAGACCTTCGCTCTGATACCATGTCAGAATCTCAGCCACTGAGATAAAAGGGCTTGTTTGTGTAGCGGGTGAGTGCGCCCATAACCCTCCAGGCCAACGTGCCTGTAACCCTTCCCTAGGATCAATTGGGGATCTCCAGTGGACCTCTGACAACGCACGCACGCACACACGTACGCACGCACGCGCTCACGCACACAATCTTACGCACGCACTCCCACCCACGCACGCACGCATCCTCGCACGTACGCACGCACGCACGCACGCACACACGCACGCACGCACACACGCACGCACGCCATTGTGTTTTGAGGGTACATTCCGCTCTGGACACTGTCCCAAAGAAAGTGTCCCAATCGAGTGTACCGCTCCAAATCGAACTAAACTAGAGACGCGAAAATTTCGAAACTAGGGTGTAATTTCGGTGTAATACGATGCAGTGCGGTAGAATCGATCCAGACACTTTCGATTGGGACATGTCCAGCGCGGAATGTACCCTGACCTGAGATATTTGCTATTTGAGAAAGTACATGATAATGAAAATGCTCCTATTTTTACAAGACATGATGCTATCTTTTTGTTAGTGGAAATTAGTGTTTTGGCATAGTGTCGCCTTGTCGTTTTGCTGTCTTTCCGTGGCTCCCACATCCGTGGGAGGCCAACATCTCCCCATCGTTAGATATTTCGGTGCAGCCCAAACATTGTCCTTAGCTGCAGCAGAAGCAGCATTGATCTGACGTGGCAATGTCCCTGCTGGAAAGGTCCGCTTAGGCCAGAGGCATATTCGGATCAAAGTCGGTAATTACAGTGGCTGGACCCCCGTGCAGGTCTGAGTCAGGTCAGGGAAAAAAATACAGTCACCCAACCTGAGGCTTGGTGCCCTTTTTTTGTCGAGCCTGGGGAATATTCTCCCAGACTTACAGCACTTTTTGTTGCCACGAATGCCCGAGAGCCTTCAGATTGTGACTCGTGGAACGATTGACAAATTAGAATGAAATCCTGCCGTTGAGTCGTTCGAAGCCAAACTACTTGAGCGAAGGACAGCTTCGCCGTGCTGGATTTATCGAAGCGCGCAATTCGAAGCTGACCTGAGGTACACGTTTCGCGCCGCCATTCTTTCCACCATCCCCTTTTCCATGCCTTTCCACCACATCTCCTCTCCTCCGCATCTGATTGTCCTTAGCAAACAGCCAAAGCAATTACTCAATCCGAACGCCCAGCCAAGCAACCACTGGAGCGAAATTGAACACATTCTGGACCAACCACACACCAACACCATTCCTGCTCGCGCAAGCAACTTATGCCACTGTGCCTTCACATCACACGAAGCGATTGTTCCACCTTACGTTGCGAGGAGAAAAAGCCGGCCAATGCCGCGCTCCTGCTATTTACTGAACTACACCGAGCAGCCCCGCAGCCAAATTCCATCCTTGTCCATGCATTTGTTTGATCGCCACCACCGGGGCTGAAAGATTTAACTTGGGGCGAATTTTTTTGTTTGTGACACAAACGGTGTCGATTGCTCAGCCACGGGATTCGGATACAGTTACTAAGCGTTTTGTAGCTAATAGGGACAAGGACGAGGCTCCCAAGCCCCTAAAGCGGCCAGTTACGCGAAGTTCACAAAACGACTTCGTTCAGCTTCGCATTGAGATCCCAGCATAATCCCAGAACTGGTTGGGGTTCGGGGTTGTCTTATACGGGATTGGTTTTTAGCGTGTCTGCCGACGCATCATACGCCGGGAACGTTACCGCATTCTGCGGACTCGCCGAATCGCATCGTGGCTATCAAACGGGAAGAAATGGAGATCGAGGTTGAACAGTCTCCTCCCCAGCAGCAGCAGCGGCGCGCGGGATCAATGGCGGCGTGGCTGGTGGAGGCGCGCGATGGGTCGCTGAGTCTCAGCGAGGACGCGCTTGCATTCGCCATTGCGGAGTGGCAGATGAGCGGCGCGACGAAATCGGCGCGCATCCACCTCGTGCACGTCCTCACGCACATCTCCGTCGATCGTAAGCCCGCCCCCCTGCGCTGCCCGGAATGTTCTCGATTCAAAAACTGACTGATTCCATGATAGCTCGAGCCGTGCTACCCGTCATTGTGTTTCATCCCCCCGTTCCTCTGCTCACCTCAGCTCTCCCTTGTTTCCACTGGTGGTGACAATGGCCTTGCAGGCGACATAATGCCTGCCCATCAACAAGATCATTTCCACCGCTCATGACCAGCTCGTACCGTCACTCACCCCTCGTCTCTTGCCGCTCCTGTGTCCCCTATCCGCTTCGCAGGCGACATGATGCGGCTGCCTATTAGCGAGGTCAGCCCGTTGACTGCGGAGACCCACGAGAGCAACATGCGCGCGCTGATTCTCGACCCGCTCGTCAAGTTTGCGCGCAAGAACAAGGTACTATTGACTGCTCTCCGATTCACATCCTGCGTGGCTGCGCGTTCTCAGGACGAGCACGAGTAGAATCCACGATCTATAGTTAGATCATTTCCAGACTATTTCTGTTCTTCCTTCTCGTGCAATGGCTGCGTGCCACGCGCTCGTTCAAGCAGGTGCAACGGTCATGTGTAGGGTTTAGAGAAAATCATTTCTTCCTCTTGTCCTCCGCTCTTCCCTTCCTCTCCCTTTCCTCTCCTCACCTTTCCTCTCTTCTTCCCCCCCCCTCCGCCCCCCCTCCCCCATCAGGCGGAGGTGGAGGCCATAGTCGTGCGCAACGACGACCGCAAGGCGGGGCTGCTCGAGATCGCGAAGAAGCTCTCGCCGCACCGCGTCTTCGTCACCGCCAAGTACGCTGCGCGCCGATTTCCCCTCCCCCTCCCGCCTCGTCTCCATCCTTTCCCCACGTCCCCCATTTTCCCTGCATTCCACCGCGTGGTTGTCACCGCCAAATACGCTACGCGCCGATTTCCCTTCCGCCCTTTCTCATGGTTTACACCGCGGGTTGCGCTGCTCCTTATCCCACTTAACCCTTCTTTCCTCCGTCCTCCTTTCCTCCCCCTTCCTTGCCTGCTTCCTTCTCTTCTCTTCCCTTCTTCCCACCCGTACTTTCCCCCCTCGCTTCCTCTCCCTCCTCCCTCTCAGGCCCAGCATGTTCGGGAAGCGGTCCGCCGTCGCAATCATCGACGCCTTATCCGGGCCGTTTTTCGCGGCGCATCTCCCGGACAACGCGCGGCTCGTCGTGCTGCAGGGCAAAAAGGTTCTTAAAGACATCACCATCGGCAGCCCCGGATCCTGCGCCGCATCTCCCGTCGTGGAACTGCCGCGCGGGAATGCTGTTGCTGCGGGGGATGCGCACTATATCTCCGCTCCCCAAACCCCCCCGCGGGGTTTTCTCTCCCCTGCAAGCTCGCGCAAGTACTCCCCCCCGGCGGAGAGCGTACAGCGCGCCGATTCCACCTCCCCGCCCGCGTCCTCCGCATCCCACGGTGCTACTAACGGCTCTGCTGCTGCGAGCACTGCGTCTCCGCATCCCGCGCCATCGTCGTCCGGATCGGGCAAGCTGAGCGCGAAGCTGACGTCATTCTGGCGCACGAGCTCGCAAGACTTGTCGGGACCCCAGTCCGGGCCGCAGAGGAGCGAGTCCTTGGGATCTCCGCCCCGCAGTCTCAAGTCCGCGTCGCCCGCGGACAGCAACAGGAGCTTCAAGCAGCAGCGCCCGCCGTCGCCGGGTTACTTTGAGGCGTCGCACAGCAACAAGTGGGGAGACAAAGCGTCGCACAGCAACAAGAAAGCGCCGCCGATGAAGCCGGGAATCGTGGTGGACGGGCGCGGGGGCGCGGAGGCGCACGGACAGGGGGGCGCGGAGGCGGACGCGGACGGGCTGGAGGTGACTCTAGTGGAGGGGGAGACTCCGCGGTCGCGCGGGGGCGCGCGGGGCGGAGCCTCGATGTCCTCCCGCCGACGCTCGGAGGACGGCAAAGCGGCGAACGCGGCGGACGCGGATGCATTCGACGGTCCGATCGACGGACGCAGCAGCACCACCGGTAGTCTCGTCGCGGCGCGCCCGCCGCACAGGAACGCGCTTCCGTCTCTTCCCTCGATTTCATCCCAGCCGGGCTGTCTGCATCTGGACGCCGGGACCGTCGCTGGCGCCACGGGGAACTTCAGCGACCGCCTCTGCCTCATGCCGCGCCACCCGCTCGTGCGCCCTTATAACGGGTACATGGGCGGGATCCAGATCGTCGCTGCGCAGATGAACGGCCCAGATTGGCTCCCAGGCTCGGCAGATCCCGAGTCTGCTTCCTCTGCTCCGTCCCCCTTTGAGTCTGCCGCGCAGCGGTTTATAGCGCCACTAGAGCACGCGCATATTTGCCCCCTCCTCGGCTGCTCCCCGTCGCTCCGCTGCCTTGTCTACCCGCGCCCACCTGGCAGCTCCTCATTGGCCAGTCGGCTCGCCTGCTGCGGCGCGGGCGGCGGCGGCGGTGCTATGAGTAGAACGAGCAGCAGCAATAGTCTGGTGCATAGGAGCAGCAGCGCAGGGAGTTTCAATAGTCCCGATAGTAGCACAAGTGAGAGGTATGTGGAGGGGAGTGTAGGGAATGGGTCGGCTGGGAGCAGGAGCCTGGGAGGTGGGTCTCTCAGGCCGCTGAGCTGGCAGACGCGGCTGAAAGTCGTGACTCAGACGTGCCGCGCGCTGACGTGGCTGCACCAGCAGTCGCCACCTGTCGCGGCGGGGTGCCTGGGAGTGGAGACGGTGCTGTTGACTCGCGATGACTCGTGCAAGCTGCTGCTGGCGAATGTGGCAGCTCTTGCAGCGGACCCAGGGAAAATGGCAGTGAAGCTGAATAGGGAGATGGGTATGGAGGGGTATGAGTGTTTGGCAGAGGATGGAGAGAGGAAGGCATGGGAGGGGCATGGAGTGGGCTGGAACGAGTATGGGAAGGAGAATGGGAAGGGAGAGTGTGGGGGAGCAGAGGCGGGGGATGTGTTTGCTTTTGGGTTGCTAATTCTGCATCTGCTTACAGGGTGGGTGGACGGTGGCGCGGTTAGGCAGCTTCTGGCTGCTTGCTGGGCGGCGGCAGATATTCACCGGGCGGTAGAGGTGGTGGCGCGGGCGGCACGCCAGTCGTGTCAGATGCAGCCGTGCTGTGATTGGCCGGAGGGAGTGTTGTACTCCCTGGCAATGGTTGCACTTGAGTGTGCGGAGGAATGCGAGGAGTGGAGACCGGTGCTGGTGGGTTGTGTGATGGATCAGGTCTTGGAAATTGAGGCTGATGCTGAAGAGGGCTTGTAAGCTCCTATTTACACACCTTGGTGTGTTCTTTTTGTAATAATTTCCATAAGTTATGTGTTGCTAGGCAGTATTTTGACATCTAGTGGGATTGTATTATATATTCGATAATACAAGGCCATAGAGGCTTGTATCATTGTATGCAAGCCCACTGTTTTCTGAATATGTTACATGTGCGTGGGTCTTGTTCGCAAGTGTACTGTGGGGTCAAATTTACCTGGTAGAATAATTTATTCAGGTCGGGCACACCTGATTGGTGGACGTCGGACGAGAAGCATCGAATTCCAAAATAGCTTTCCAGGGCGATAAGCTTGATCGGATTGCTGGGTTGCTTAATAGCGAGGATTTGCGAGAAGTACATACGAGCTTCTGATTGATACCGTAGTATACGAGAAATTGCGGCTCCTTCAGGTGCACCCGAGGCACGTGAGGGGGGCAGGGGGTTGGGAGACGATGTGTTCTCCCAGCGGTCGGATACGGGGGATGGCTCTGTTTTTGTCGCATTGTTAACGGGAATGGAGTGTTGGCTCCGCCTTCGCTTGGGCAACGCCGACGACTTGGTCGGATGTACGGGTGAAGCAGCCGACCGTTCGCAGTGAAGGAGCTGCTCGACGGGCTTCGTCGAGCTGCAGGATGTCACTGTGGAGCAGTCCGTCGACCTGCAACTCGACCGGGAGGTCTGGGGGGCATCCCGTCGAACTGCAGCTCGACCGGGAGGTCCGCGAAGCGTCCCTTCGACCAGCAGCTCGACCGGGAGGTCCGCGAAGCAGTTCTGGTCGACGGAAGGGGTCCGTCGACCAGGGGGTAGCTCGACGGGAGCTGTGGTCGACCAGGGGCACCTGGTGGTCGACCAGAGGGAGCTGTGGTCGACCGGAGGCACCTGGTGGTCGACCGGGGACACTGGGGGTCGACCAGGTCGACCGGGTAACCTGCTCGACGAGTTCTGCGGAGGCACGCGAACGTCGTCGAGATCGCGATGACGAAGGCGACTTCGGAATGGTATCCCGAAGTCGATGTGGCTCGTCAGGCGCAGACAACAGCCGACGGATGCCCAACAAGGCAAGTCGGGCCAATCGTCTGCGCGCACCTGCGAGCGTGCGCACTGCTGTCTTCTACGGGGCAACGCAGGGCAGCCGCACAGCTGCAACGTTGGCACGCCGTCGACCTGCAGTGTTGGCAGGTCGCTCTTCTGCAGTGCTGGCGCGGCTCCTCTACGCAATGCTGGCACGCGGTCGACCATGCAGTGCTGGCGGTCGACCAGGCTAGCTCCAGAGTTGCTAGGTGCCTGATGTAGTCAGTTCTGTCATTGCTTGTTCAATGATTCTGTAATTCCAACTTTGCTAGTGGAAACTCTTGCCAATTTCTCCCGTGAATGTGCAAGCACTAAGGAACCAAGCAAAGCTACGATCACTCCTAGTAGTTCGTGCCAACCCCCATAGTCTAGCTCACTACCGTTGTAGAGTGAATCTCCGCATGGTGCGGTGAGCGTGGACGGCCCCGCAAATTACCTTCAGATAGGAGCCGACTTTTGCACCTACTAAGTCGTTCGTAGGCCGGCAGCAGCGTTAGTCGTCATGGTCGACCTCGCTGTAGAAGCGGGTGTAGCGGACACCTTGGAGACACGCTTAGCTGATGGGAGGAGACGCCACGCGGATGGCGAGTACGGGACGATCCCCTTGACGATCGTCGAGTTGGGCATCCGGGCGCAGTGGGCGACGGAACACCCTTCCCGTCCTGCATCTCCTCGACCGGCACGAAACGAAGGTGGCGTCGACGTCGAGGTCGACGGAGGTGCTCGAGTCAGCGGCAGCGAAGGCACGAGGCAGAGAGGTGTGATCAAGGTCGACGGTGGCGTCGACGGGATTCAGGCGCGAGTGCAGCGGTCGACGGCGGCTGCAGGCAGCTCGCGTGTCGATGTGGATGGTCGACGTCGCTCTCCTCTACGAAGTGGTGGAGGTCTCTCGGCGACGACGCACGTGACAGGCGGGATTGCACCGGCGTATGGCTACTTCAAATTCTCGCCGGACCGGATCACCGTCGCCCCGCTGCAAGGTCGACGGGACCTCATCACATGAAGGGAGTCGACAGAACCTCAGCTGGAGGTCGCCGGGCTGAAAGGCTTCGCCGACGGCACCGTGCCGTTTCCGCCCGAGGAGGACGTCGAGCTGCGCGGGGAGTTTCGCGCTGCTCACCTGCTCACTTTCATGGTCATCTCGAGGTGCTGCTCGCCGGTGGTGCAGCTAGCGCTCAGGAGCTGTCGAGAGCGGCTCGACGCTGGTCACCAGGCATGGCGCTTCATCCTGTCGACGTACCAGGTGAAGGACGACCTGTACATCGGCCAGCTGGAGGAGAAGATGACTCACATTCGGATGGGCGAGCAGGAGTCGGCGACGGACTACTGCAACCGTGCTCGACGGATCCTGGCGGAGATGCGGATGGCGGGCGCCGAGTACTCGACGGCGTCCTACATCACTCACCTCGTCAAGGGCCTGCCGCGCAGCTACAACCTCATGAAGAGGATGATGATGGTGCCCGGCACGCGTGAGTCCCTCGACG